AAATTGGAGGCTGCAAAAACGACAGCAGTAGCAACAACAACAACAACAAACAGTGAGCAACCGGCAAGTGAATCGGATAAAGAGAAAAATAACACCGAAATCAAGGAAGAAACGGTTAAAGTATTGCCAACATTTTCGGAGGAAGGAAGCAACACGGCAGCAATAAATACCGCAACGAAAGTAAACGAACTGAAATCATTGCAAAATTTAAATTTAAATATAAAATTAAATGAAGAGTCTGAACAAAATAACCTAGAGTTAAAGTCAGCAAACGACGAAGCGGAATGCCGAAAACAGCAGTTAAATTTAAACCAGGAAAATATTAATAAAACTGAAAAAGAGAAGCCTACAAAGGATGCAAGAAAGTTAAATGAGCCTCAAAAGAAAAATGAAAATCAACAAAAGCACGAGTCCTCAAAACAAAAGGCTAAAAATGAACCGAAACCCCAAAAGAATTTGAAAGACAATAAAAAATCTGAAGAATCTGCTTTGAACACCAATATTTCAAAACAAGTGGAGAGTGAGACCCTTAAAATAATAAAAGAAGGACCCAAAACAGTTCAGAAGAACGTTGAAGTTGATGTTGAATCTGAGAAAATCCCAAAGGAGCAACAAAAGCCACTCCAGCAAAAGCAGCTGAAAACGGGGCCAACTTCCGAAAAGCAGCAGAAGAAAGAAAAGCAGCAGCAACAATCTGAGCAAAAGCAAGCATCTAATACACAGGAAAATGTGGATATAAAAGAAAACCAAAACAAATTGCAACAGCCACAAGGCCAACAAACAAAACCAGCTGTGCAAGGACAAGTTGGCGAGCAGAAGAAACTATCAAATAAACAGGACACTCAAAAGACACAAACACCAGGTCCTAAACCGACCCAGCAGCAGCAAAAGAATAACCAGCAAATAAAACAAAAAAATAAATCAGGACAGAAGAAAGAGCAAAATCAAGATCTTCAAGCCAAAAGTGACAACGAACAGCGTGAACAGGGCGAAACTGAAAAGCAACAACAAGTTTCCAAGCCACCGGCTGCCAAGCAACAAGAGAAAGCGTCCGATGAAGAATCGATGGAGCAGAAGAAAGGGCCAAAAGAAGCGAGTACTGAAACTACAGTCATACAAAGGAAGACTGAGACTCCGGTGAAAGGCGCACAACAAGAGAAGAATTCTGCGGCATCAAAGCCAGTAGCCTCAGCTAAGGACAACGAACCAAAACAACAGACGCGAACAGCGCCAAAAGAAAAAAAGCAAGATATACCAAAGGAACAGAAGTCCGAGCGCCAATCCGATGCGAGTAGAAATAAAGATAATCTTGCAGCCGTGGCCCCTGAAAAACCAACGGAAAGTGAAACTCCTATTGTAGATGTATCCATTAAAACTGTTGCTCTACAATCATTAGAATCTACAGAAAAATTGTTAGGAATAGTAAATGAAATAACAAAAGAACTTGCAGTTGAAGGTATAAAAGAAGTCAATGAGGAGGATTCAGCCTCCAAAGTTAAGCTGGAATTAATACCAGCGAAAGAATGTGCAGCGGGCCAGGCAAGCAATTCTACTGCGCAATTCCCGCCTACAACTCCTAATACGACTGTAACTCTGGCTGTAGAACCCGTTGAGAAACTTCAAGAGGAAATTAAACCTACAATTGTTGCTAGTCTTACTGATGCAGTGGAGAAGCTACCTATCAAAGAAAAATCGGCAACCCTTTTGAGCAGTGAACTACCGACAAGTTCATCGAATGCCGGCGCAGCTCGAGAAGTGGTAAAAGAAAATAATGATAAAAGTGTTCCTGCGAAGGAACTAACAGAAGAACCATCTCCGCCAACACTACAAAAAACGCTTGAAGAACAATTAGATACACAGTCTACTTTGGTTGAAATTCTAGAATCACAACCTGGAACGTCAATGCTCATCAAAGATGCGCTAAGTGCTGAAGAAAAAACAGAAGCATACTCGCCTTTACGAGCAGATCCACTCAGTAAACAGCTATCTATGGGCGAAGTAGTTCAGGAGGTACCTGTTCAAATATCACCCAACAAAATTACAGTACTCCAAAAATCACCATTAACTGATGACATGAAAGATATTCCGCCTGCAGAGTTATTGAATACAGATGTTGTTAAGGATGCTAAAACAGATTTGATGGCTTCCAAAGACGACTCGAAATCGATCGACCAATCGCAAGCAAGTGAAGTAAAATTACTAACACCAGAAGCTTTGATAACCTCGGAAAATAAAAAAGTTACCACACCCATAGCAGGAAGTCCCAAACAAAAAGTATCTCCCCCAAAACAAACTAAATCTCCACAGGAAATAGCGAAACAGCAGGCCAAGGCATCACCGGTTAAGGAAGCACCGAAGGCGTCTACGCCACCTGATGCTAAACTAAAACTGACAACGAAACCGCAACCACCACAACAGCAACATTCATCAAAAGGAAATACAAAACCAATGTCTAGCAAATCCGCAGCTTCGACTCCCAGTGCCCCCACTACCCCCAGCACACCCACCACGCCCACGAAAATATCACCGGAAAAAGGTGTACAGGCACAGAAATCAACAGCTCCGAACACAAAGATCGAAGGAACAACAAAAAAGACAAACTCGCCGCAAAATCAAGTAGATGCAGCAGCAAAATTTAAGCAACAACAAGGTGTTGCTGGTAAAGCTGTGCGCCCAGGTGGTGGTAATGCTTCGATAGTATCCGGAGGGTCTAAGAAGGGCAACACGTCACCGGCTATAAGCAAAACTAAGGCGAACGCTGGAGTAAAGCAACAAGAGGCTTTTCTGCAGGACGCGACTATTGCTTCATCAGCAGAAGCAGCACAGCCAGGAGCCGCAACAGTAGCCATATTGTCGCCACCTGCAGTTCCAGCAACTGAAAACACTGCTAATTCTAATCAATCACCTCCATCAACTTAGATTAGCTTTCCTCAGCTTTTTCAGTTTAACTTACGTACATACAAGCAAACATACTAATGATACAAACCAGTGATGGGCATTTTAAAAATTGTTTTTATATAGAGTACCTGTTTGGATACTAAATACTCAACACTTATGTAGTATATAGAAATGCCTAAATGCCAAAATAAAACACTAGAAAGTAAAAAAAAAAAAACAACTAAACTAACTAGAAGTTGGGCAAATGAAAATGCTAAATACAAAACACCTAAGTATTTGAAGGATTCTAAATACTAAAGTATTTTATAGATGTCTAAATACTTGTGCTACTCGATTCAGTAAAGGAGCGAAAATTGTCAATAATTGATACTTTTATTTTTTTTTAGATTTTGATAATAAATTTAAATGCTTCTTGATTTCCCTGGTTTTTCGAAACTTTAAAATTTTTTTCTAGCGACATTTCCACACTCTGTGCTAAACCTTAATACTTACCCGAATTTAGCAAGATAAAAAAAGCCTTAAATACTTTATAAATCAAATATTTGTTTGAGAGTACATAGAAAGCTTTTTAAATTTATTTTATTTTTTTTATGAATAATATTACATTACATTTTATATCATCCTTCGTAATTATCGACATCCGAAATACTTAAATACACATTACACCATAAGTAACTAACTACATATGAACACACATACTTATGTATTTAGTATTTTTAAAGAACAAAATCTCAAATATTTGTTTAATTTAGCAGTTAGTATTTCGAAAAATTGTGCCCATCACTGATTCAAGCATAATAAATTTTCTAATTCCTTAACTTATGATACTACTTGCTATTGCATTTGCACTTTGTTCATTCTTGTTTGTTTATTACATTTTCCTTCAACCTCCTCATTCTTAAACATTCTTCGAAAATGATTTTACTAACCTAAAACATCTACTTACATGCAAATTACATATAAACCGAAAGATGCATATGTAATTTATCTTTAATTACTAACCGCGTTTTAAAGTCAGAGTTTGAAAAAAAAACACCAAAAAATGTTTCAGTTGATAGGCAATGCAATTAAGAATTGGGCGTAAAAAATTACCTAGGTGATATCAGTTTGGAGAATTGTCAAGTGTAATTAATCGGTAATTTATGTTTGTATAATATATGTATTTATGCGCATACGTACTCAAGTATTTATATGCTTGGGTAATTTAAATTCGAAATTACAAAAATAAAAATTTATCACTGAAACCAATTGGATCGTTATGATTTCTAATATATTGGGGCGCCTGATTAATAATACTAATAATATTTTGGCCGCTACACTTTTGCTAAGTGTTTGGCCGAGCTTTTCCTCCACAGCGGCCGCAATAAAAAAAAAAATATTTACTGAGTATCAGTGAAGGAACTCGCATAATGACAATATTGTGCATTAAAAAATACGCCTGCCATTACGTTCATAAAAATAGTAATTTTGTCTGTTTCTACATGACATTTTTTGTAATTTAAATGCCTAGCGGAAATTCGGCGTTACCGTTAAAACAAATGTTGTTATTCTCCGACTATTAGGTGAGAAAATAAGAGCCCGCACTCTTTTATTTCATATCAATCGAATTGAGCAACGTCAATTAACAGTTTCTGAATTCTTTTCGACTAGAAAAACTGGTTTCTGTGCTTAAATATAAGTTAAGCTAAATATCTCAGCATAGAACCAGCTAGTTCTATTTTTTTGTTTTGGAAACGGCGCATTTTCACTCGCAATCAAAAATAACAACTACATAGTATGCACACAAATGTTTATTTTTTTTGGCGTAGCAAATATAAGTAGCGATAAAAATAAAAGTATCGGCCGGCACAATGCTAGCAATGCTAATGGAAGAGGCAATAGATGATAGAAAAATTATGGCGCTCCGCACATACATACATATTTCTACACGTACCCATTAGCTCCATGTACATATATCAACAACATTCATACATATGCACATACATAAAAATGTAAATGTTTACCAACTACTAAGTTCAGAATGAGCGCAAAGCTCACCAACAAATGGTTAATAGATTCGCGGTAGTGATAGGGGTACCACAAGGCAGGCAACCTACCGAGTAAAGTAACTGACAGCTGATAGTTCAGTTCATTTCGGTAATTCGCAGTGAGAAGCAGGCTGTAGTGGCACGCGACAAAAGGTATATCTACATATTACCAGAAAGAGGGCAATTTAGACTTTTAGAAAAATGAGTGATGCGCTTAAAATTATTGGCGCTGTCGTTTTGCCAAATGTAGGTGGCTTCGTGAACGGCATTATAACACGCAAAAACATACAGACTTGGTATAAAAACCTAAATTTTCCATCATACCGTCCGCCAAATTGGATTTTTGGTCCAGTATGGACTTCACTGTACTCCGGCATGGGCTATGCCTCTTACTTGGTGTGGCGTGATGGCGGTGGTTTCAGCGGCGAGGCCCAATTGCCCCTCATTGCGTACGGTACGCAGTTAGCACTCAATTGGGCGTGGACACCAATTTTCTTTGGACTGCGTAATATAAAAGGAGTAAGTTATGCAACAAAGCATTTCGTAAAATGTCAGAGGTACACTAAACATTGAATAGCTGTGATTTTTTTTATTCATATGTATGTATGTATATGAATATACACAAATGTGTATATTCATAAGTGCATATCGTCGTCACTAATGCAAAATATCCCCATTGGCAAGTTTGAAGTCCAATAGTGGCCTTAAATTCTTTTTATGAAGTGTTATCTGAGTGCAAAATATGCAAATTATTTCCAAAAAATGTCACTTTAAGCCTTTTGCATTGATAGCGAACATATTGCTCATTGCTAAAAGATCGTCGTCACAAGTAAAAGATCCGAGACGTGTTTAAACTTTTCAATCGACATTCACAGGCGAAAACTGCACAAGATTTCGGAATGCAATTTTTACACAAAATATACGCTTCATTCTTCACCATTATTAGCTCAATCATGGTACTTTTAAGTCGCGACAGTAGTTGTGTTTTTTTACAAATTATCCATTAACTTGCCAGCAACTCTCCAGTAACTTAATTTCTAAGAATTCGCTCTCATAGAAAAAATTTACAAAAAAGTACGTGAACGCTTTTCCAGTAATAATTTGCAAGTTTCATGAACAGCTGATTAATTGGTTGTTTATTCGCAGCATATTCCTAATAAAACAATATATTTTATATTTAAATATGCTTATTTTGTGAATTTCCACAATAAAAAGCCACAAACAGTTTCCTTATTAGTTTAAATTTCATCCAGCAACATGCGATCAGCTGTTTTTCGTACTGGCAAATTCTTACAAGTAAAAATTTATCCAGTAAAATCCAGTAAAAACTTGCAACTTCAGCTGCCATTTTTCGCTCTCTCAATTTCCCCTACTTTGCAAGTTTTTGCGTACGAAAACGCCAAAACATGAAAATTCGTAAAAACTTTTACTGGATTTTACTGGAAATGAGTAAAAAAACGCAACTAGTATTTTAGTAAATGAGCTATATGTACATACTATAAGAAATTATACAATAACGATTTGACAAACTTTTCTTAAATAACACACATTGCATGATGTCATCAAGTGGCTTTAGTTGTTCTTGGGTTAACTTGATCTTATAAGAGTGTAGGCCAAGGTCCTTGCGGTGCCTAGATTAGACATAAATCGCTTGTGTCGTGCGTCGTAAATTAAGACTAAAAAAATAGGCGTAAATTTAAATTATTTGTAATCCTTGTTCGTTCGTGTACTTCACCACGATGTGGTTTTAAGGGTGCAATCTAAAGTAAAATGTCTGCGTTGTCAAATCTTTATTGGAAGCACAGCTTCTGTTGATGTTTACTGTAAATCGCTCTTTATTCTATTTTATAAAAATATATTTTTTAATTAATACTAATAACGTACAACATTTTTAAGGGTCTCATCGATATTATTGCGCTGACTGCAACATCTACAGCTTGCGGCATTCTCTTCTTTAGAGTGAATAAAGTAGCTGGGCTTTTGTTCATTCCATACGTCGCTTGGCTTAGCTTCGCAACGGTACTCAATCACGCCATGTATAAACTGAATCCTGAAAGTAAAGCTGTAAACGCTGCTGCTGCTGGTGATGATGATGAGAAAAAGGGTCAGTAAAGTATTATTAACAGCCTGGTTTGCTGCATTTAATTACATGTCCAAGTATTAAAAACATTTTTCAACCAAATGAGTACATTCGCAGAAAACGTATGATGTCACTTTGGCTATGTGATGCCTTTAACGCTCTATTCATGGTCACTGCTGTTTTCAATTACTGCGTTGCACTTATTGCAATGCAGTAAAGTATACAAATAAACAACAACAACAACAACAACAAAACGATAATTAATTTAATCTTAAATATTAAGCTTTGGCTGTGGCCTGTAACAATACGCAACCAAAAAATATTTGCTTATTTGTATGTATGAATGTATATAGTATGTACTTTTATATATTTTCACACATGTTGCCTCAAAATGTTTCAACGATGTCGGGAGTTTCAGACATTGTGCTTAATAAGGAAAAATTAAAATATTAAACGATCAAATAGATATTACAGCTCAAACCTGTTTTTTTGTAAAAATTATTAATAAAAAATGTCTAATGTAAAAAAGAAACACAAATCGCTATCTTAGAGTGAAAAGTTGTTATGTCCACTGTTTATAAAAAATCATATTTTGATACAGGAGGATAGAGAAATTAAAAATGCATCGTTTCGAAAATGATAAAGGTACTTGTTTTATTTTTTCCCCGTTTATATTCAATAAAAAGAAAATAGCCAAGTCCAAAGGAAGTCCGGAAAATCCAGTAATGCCAAAATAACGCGAAATCTTTTAACCCTTAAAAGCCCACAAGTGTCTCGCGGACACATTTTTAAGTTCATTTGCGTATAAAACTCAAAGTATTTATTTTTTCGAAAAACCAACCGTAGCTGTCACTGGTGGGACATGCTTGACTGTTGAATTATTCTTATCTAATTACACTGGCTTACAGTAAAAATGCTCTGTGGATGCCACTATCCAATTCGTATGTAGAAGTGCTCGGTGTTTCCGGAAATCGAGTTATTTTTTTTTTCTATGGATACTTTTTCGAGATATTTGCAATTTACCGTTATTCAGCTCAAAGCAAAAATTGGTTCCTTTTAATCACGTATATCTTACGAACCAATTTAAAAATCTTAATATAAAATACGGCAAATGAAAGCCAATGAAATTCTCCATAAACCGTATATACATCACTTTCCGATAGGGCTTATAGTTTCTGACAAATGAATTAATCATTCCAGCTTTTTTTTTTTTTTATTTTTTAATGAAAATATGAAAAAAATCAAACTTTAACAGAAGAAAAATTTAAAAAATAACAGGTTCTGTGCCAAACTTTTGCATTTGTACTAAAGCCTGTTCTGTTACAAAAAAAAAATCAAGTTACTGATGCAGAAAATCGATGGATAAATACGAAATAATGAGTGGCCAAATACAAAAATGCGCAAGATTATTTCTATGAAAATTTAGCACGAAAGAATGTTACTAATACGCCGCGTACACCTAAGTTACACGCTTTTCTGCTCATATTTCATACAAAAAGTCTTTCCGCATTTTCATTTGACCACTCATTATTTCGTATTTATCCATCGATTTTCCTCATCGGTAACTTGGATTTTTTTTTTTTGTAACAGAACTGCATACTCGAAAATTTTTTAGAAATTATGAATAAAAAATTTAAAATTTGAATGAACATTTTTTTAATTTTAGTGAACTTTATATAAAAATGTAAAACTTTGATTGATAAGATTTATATTATATAATGAACTGTATTTTCATAAATAATTATTGCAAAAAATTTATCATGAAAATAATTCGGAATATTGTATTAGAACAAGGTGTACACTTTCAATTGTCGCCTAGTGTACATACTTTGTATGGAAGAATATGCGTAAAATCATTAGCAAAAAAACTTTCACAATATTACACCAAAATTGAATGGGTTATAAAACAACATTCCCGATGTTTTTTTAGAAATTCCGATTATAAGGTTTAAAATTTTGATGGCCAATTCTTGAATTTTGAGCATGGTAAAAATATGTGGTACATCCATCCATGTATATAAAACTAGCTAAAAACGAGTTAATTAGTTTGCGGAAATTTTTTATATTTTTCGCTTCATAGGTTTATTTGTGCCATTTTGTATCACAAATTTGTTTAAATCACACCTTAATTATACATTATCAACATCGGTGATATCAAACAAAAATTTTCAGATATGTGTAGGTACCTACTTCATCAAAGTCGCGCCTGCAATAAATGTCTAGTCATTTCTGATTAGTTCTTTGTGTACTATATGCATGCCAGTATGTATTCATTATTCTTTAAATCTGATACTATGCATGTCTTTTGATATTAGCCGCCTAATTGTCCCATATCAAAGCATTAGGCCTCGCTATTTACTCGGAACATCACAAAGGTTTAGGCGAATCACCCTGGTCATAATTATTTCCAATTTTCAGGCGCATTTGCATTCCTAATACCATTTGGGTGCGCACCTTTTATTTGGATAGCTGGTGTTTTATCATGTGACGGTGTTGAAAGCAGATATGCAGGCATAAACTTAAGTAAAAATAAAATAAAAAAACGCAAACATGGGTGGTGTATATGTACATACATAGATACATATGTGATAATAAAGCCAGATACTCTTTTTTTGTTTGGAAAATTCGAGCTATTTTAAATATTAGTCATTTTATTGTTCATTTTAGGAGGTGTTTTTCATTCCACTTTTTTTTTAAGATAAAAAACTAAGATGAGATTGTTATGAGTTGCAGACGATTCAAAACTAAAATTGAGAGATAGTCTTTCTTAAATTAAAAATTTGAGTCATTTCGATGACACTGTCCTTCTCTTTTTTCCTGAATAAAAGGGATGTTAAGTGTTTTCAAGCAAAGCGATCTAAAATAGGTGGCCCAAAATAAATGAATTTTTTGGAACGTTAAACTATATATATCAACAAAACACGATTTCACGTGTGATTACGTAATTCTGTAATTGCTGTAATTGAAAAATAATCTCGTCGAAAAATTAGGGTGGTATTATCACTTGCGAAGCGAATGCATTTGGCGAACGCAACTAAAATATACAGTAAAAGTTTTCGCTTTTACCAGCTTGTGCAAGTTCTTTGCATAGCGAACACTCTTAACGCCTTCCAAAGTTCAATTGGTAAAAAAAAATTAATTAACAAATTAATTAACACCTTTTTTTTACTAAAATTGCAATTATCTCGAAAGTATTAGTCCTACACAATTTGGTATATGGAACATTTTTGTAGAGAATCGAAATAAGCTAAGAAACTTTTTTTTACCAAAAATTTTAATTTTGCGCACAGATTTTTTTAGAGCATAATGAACCATATTTTTGCTATTACCAATCAAAATTCTAAATAAAAGCTTGTAAAAAGCGGATTTTCGGCCCACGCTAATATGTATGTATATACTCGTGCATACATACATACATATGTACGTCCATATATATAAATAGGAATTTAGTGCACATTAAATAATGTTTGCTCATAGTCTTATAGTTAAGGCTTAAAAAGATAGCATTCTTGATAAATGATGTTGTTGATAATAAGTACACTGAGAAAAAACAAAATCACAACTTTGTTTGAAACTAAAATATGGTTTTATTACTTGGCTCCAAGCAGTGTTTTGTTTATGTAGATACTTTTAAATACATATGTATGTACACTGGCAATCAAAAGTGAGTGCATGGTGTTTTTCGTTTATTATTTGCAATGTTTTTCAAGTCAAAATTTTTTTGTTATTTTTTTTTATAAAGAAAATGGTGCATGCTTTAATCAAAACCATACAAGTCAAACTTTCAAACTTTATACAGAACTTAGAAAAATTCAACGAATTTTCAACGACCTTTTTAATCTGAGTTTTTGGAAGCATTTTCAGTACGTAGATAGATCGGTTTTTTTTTAATTCTAGTGAAACAAGATCAAGACTACATTTTAAATATAAAATTAATAAAAATTGATTACACACACACGGTGAAACTTAATAAAAGCTTGTAATTAATGCTATTTTTATGCTAAAAAATTTCGTTTTGTTAACTTAGAAATGTCAAACAGGCTGTTTGAAATCATCATATATTTTTCTCTTACTGTAAACGGGGGTATCGCTTTTGTTATGTGTTCATTTTTACATACAACAAAGCAATTCTATTCCAGGAACGTAAACGTGAGTATGCATATGGATCACTTATGTATGTATGGATGTATCCATGCGCCATGTACATACATGAGTATCGCCATACTCATTTGTATAAATATAGTAGCGCCACATGCGAAAATCAGTTAAAACGGCAATAAGTATTTTCATGCGAAACTTAAATTATAAGGCGTACTTTCTAGGGGGCGAATTCGAAATGCATATGCACATACATACGTACATACATATACGTATGTATGTAATTTTATTTGCAAATATCTTCAAAACTATTGCTCATGGTGTTATCAGCTTTTAGATATTAGCTACAATTTTTTCTATAATTTAGTAAAAATTTAGTTAGTGATGCAGTCATATTAAACTAATCAATAATAATCCATTTTTGGATACCTCCTTTAGTTTCCGAGATATTGAGTAAAAAGTGCCGTTAATTTGGTATTATTTTTGGTATTATTTTGATCACATTTTGTCGTATTTCATGCAAAGTGGCCGCCAAATTGTGGACAAATTACGCTTACGACAAAATTTTACTAAAGAAAATCCTTCATAAACTCAAAGCTAACTAACAATAAACATTAAAAATTAAGTAATTAAGAATTTTGTGAACGATAATCTTTTACCCAGTCGATGCTGTACTTTATTTTGCAATAATCCTCTTACTTTGCAAAAAATCGCGAATTTAATATTAACATAATCGTTTCTTTGATTTCTCCTGATCGTGCAGAGATAACTTAATCAGGAGATATGACCGATCAAAGTAATGATTATGTTAATATTAAATTCGCAATTTTTCGCAAAGTAAATGTAAAGTAAAGTTGCAAAATAAAGCATAAAGTGAGTTTGCATTGCGCAACTTTGCGTTCAACTCAGCGCAGGGTTGCACGAAAAAAAAGTTGAATGGCTAAAAATATCAAAATATGAAAAAATATCAAAATATTCGCCATAAAAAGGTGTTTGCATTGTACAACTTTGCATTCAACTTTTGGTTGAACGGCGTTTCAACTAATCGCTTTCAACAAAGTTGGTTGCCAGCCAACATTTAGCCATTCAACTTTTTTTTCCGAAACAAAAGGTTTTTAAGGGGCCCACTTGACATATTTTAATCAAATTTAAAAAAATTTATATTTTTTTTTTATAAATCTCTGACTCTTTGTCAATAAAAAAGTACTAATTGATTTTTTTTGATACAACCAATTTTAATCGAGTCAAAAAAAAAAAAGATTGTTGTTGTTTTTTTGCGTTAACAAATACTTTAGGACCTCCTCTGCAACATATCCGAAAATCGAGCAAAAGTAGTGTTTGACCAAAAGCAAACCGGCATTTAA